TTGTCGCCGCTGAAATCGGCGGTGCGCCGAAAGCATACTCACCTCGCTGAGTTTTACAAGACATCCCTTATTTTGGGGTCCCAACGGCGGATTAATTCAAAATCACCGATAGGTTCGACGATTCACCAACTTGATCCTTGGCTCGCCAACTTGCACTTTTCAACACCTTTCTCACTTTAACCTACAAAATCAGCACACCATTATTCGAACAGAATAATTTAAAACAGTAAAACCTTGGGTTTCCTCCCAAGAAATGCCTTATTTTACATCGTGGCACGACGTAAGTTCTGTTTCATTCTCCATTATTGGGGTTAGCCCTAGTGTCACTAGGTTACCCCAATATGTTATTTGGGTGGATATGAGGCACTGCAAAACTCAGGAGTGACCTGATTAGCTGGATTGATGTAGAGTGAGATCCCACTTCAATATTCTCCTTCATTTCTTCCAACACCCGATCTTGATCGGTGATCTTTTGGAGAATGATTTGAAGTGTGTCCTCGACACGATCTTTCCCCAAATCTCTAGACTTCCTCCGCTCATGAGGGGGTATGTACCTCTCATTTCAACCAATTTGCCACTACTCTACTCAGCCATGCTCATCTAAATGGACTACTCAACAAAAAAAAAAACTGAAAGTAAAGTTAGTGAAATTGCAACTAAAAAGAACAAAAATTCTACTAATCTAAAAATTCTCAAATAGTACCACTCCCCGATAGCGGAGCCATTTTGATGTTTGCGTAATCAATGACGCAACTTCCAATTCAAGTGTCTACGATCGTGCAATAGTATAATAACCCAACCAAGGGTTGGGATCATCCCAAGAGAGTGGTTTTGAGAATTTATAGAAAAATAAAATTTAGTTCTAACTAGTCGTAGCTAAAGACATTAACGAGTAAAATCATAGTAAATAAAATGGGGTGACACAAATGTGTCAAATATCAAATGGGGGTTTTCTCACAAATAAATAAAAACAACAAATATCAAATGGGGTTTTTCTCACAAATAAATAAAAACAACAAATTAACAATGGAATCTAGACAATGAGAGGGGGATTCTTGGGATGTGATCGGAATACGGGTTAATCTCAATTATTGGGTACATGTTTTCGATAGAAAATTTATATAGTAATAGTGACTAGGCTAAGCTTTATGTGAAAATAAGTTCTCTCTTGAGCAACTTACCCCATTTCAAATGGGTTCCTCTCGGACACCCAATTGCCGCATGAAGGCCAGCCTACGTCTTACCCCACTCACTCTCTCGAGCTAAGTGTTAGGATATGGGACTAGGGATGACCCTCTCGAGCTGAACCTCATGTCAACCCACTCCTTAGGCTATCAATTTAGTGGTGTTGGTTTTATGACTTGTCTCTCGAGCAAGCTGAAAACACATAAATAAACTTGTATTTGCTACTACTAATTCATTAGATTCATACACAACCACTAAACGAAATTACAATTAAACTATAAATAAACTATCAGCAAGCAAGACCCAACAAATATCTTAACCCATATTCGCTAAATCACACCCTAAGAATTGGGGTTTTTAGCCACACATCAATACATAGAAATTTATACCTAAATGAGTTTGCATTCAAATGGGTATGAAGATTTAAGTCTTGTTACAGGCCAAAAATGAAGAGTCCAATAGACCCAACTCCAAATCTTGAAGATGAAAACCCTTTTCTCCTTCAAGTCTCCAAAACCTCTCGCTTAGAGAAAAAAGTACTATTCTATCTAGAAATTATAATAATTGTTCGACTCTCTAAAAACATCTGAAGAGTTTAGTATTTATAGACTTCAGATTTGTGCTGCAGCGGATCATTCGGCGAGGTTAGTCGAAATCGCCGATCAATTCCGCGATTCACCCTTTGGGGTAGTTCGTCGCCGTCTTGCACCAACCTTCAGCATCGTCGTGCTCTGTGTCATTGGGAGACATAGTACTGCTTCACGGAACTCCTTGGCGATGCGCCGATTGCTCCCTTTTTTTCGCCGGCTTGATCCTTTCCTTCAGGGCTCAACACATTGGAACAAAACGTGAAGTAAGGCACTTCGGCGGCTCGCCAAGTGGACTCGACGATCCTCAGGCCTTCATTTCTTCATTGTTTTCAGCCTTTTTTTGTCCCTTTCTGCGACGTAGTGTCCATGCTTTCCTTCAAACTTCAAATACCTGAAACTGAAAGGTTTTCGTTAGATATCGAGGTAAAACAAGCATTTGAGGACACTATTTCTATTAAAATAAAGCCCTAAATGAGTCCAATTTGTGAACTCATCACCACGCTGTCGCCTAAAGTTACAGAGCACTGAGGCTGGATAAAAAGTAGCTTCTGCGAGCAATAATTCCACTCGGTGCGTCGCCGATCGCATTGGGCATGGATGACTAGGTCACCGAAAGTACTAATGGAGATCCAGATAAGTACTGATGGGTGAGAAGAAAGGAAAAAATGTGCATTGCAGAACGAGACAGCGATCCCGATCTGGCTCACCTAAAATTACAGTGGTTGGACTAAGAAGAGGTGAAAAATGAAGGCGAGACGAAGGAGAATCGGTGAGTCACCAAACGATCGATGAAGCCTGACATACCTCACCGATTGGTCCCAAATAGTTACACATCAGACTTGCATAAATTGATTTTTGGAAGAGAGAGAAGGCATTCAGAAACGTAACGAACAAAAGATTGAGAGCAAAAACACTATTCTTGTGGATTTCAAGTGACTTTAGCAAGGTTTCCCCTTCAAATTTTGTAATAGAGAAGATTTTAGTAAATTTTAACTTTTGAATTTCATTTACCCAGTTATGGAAAACGTGGCATGTATTGAATTTCATCTTTTCACTATGCTTGGCTAAAACCCTAACCTTGGGGGTTTGACAATGTGACTAATTGTTGAATTTTGCTAAATGGGTGTTGTCGATTAGTGATTTTTTATGTTAATTAGAAGTGGGTCTAGATTACTATGGTGGTTTAACGTCTATATTGCATATTTAGTGTGATAGATTTCAGAGTTTTGTGCTTGCTCGAGAGAGGAGTACATAAATAACCAACATAGTAGTTTGACATCCTTAGTAGTGGGTCTTGACGGTTTCAGCTTGAGAAAGTGAAACCCCAGAGCTAGCCTTTGTATCTAGCTTGAGAAAGTGGATTTGATGAGAGCATGGGCTGGTGATTTCTGAGATGGTGTTGAGGTTTGAGAGAACTCAACAGAAATGAGGTAATTGTTCTAGAGAAAGTTGCCTTACTTATAGTCTAATTTACCCGTGACGAATTAGCATTATCGGTAATGAGATACACCCATTAAGTTGAATTTGATAGTTGGTTAGTCAACCCCCAAGTGTTTCCTAGTTATCTGATTGTTTCTTGTCGATAAGTTGAAGTGGATTAGTAACAACATCTTGAAATTTGACTGTGTAACTATTAAGTGTTGTGTTGCTCAGCTGCAAAGGTCATTGTCATACTTTCGTATTTGATTCAAAAAATGCTACTCTCTGTGGGATCTACTCCAACTCAGTTGGTTGGGTTATATACTGACTAACGATTGTTGACACTTAGAATTGGATGAAGTGTCTTTGAAATGTTAATCAAAATGGCACCGCTGCCAGGGAGTAGCATTACTTAGAGTTCTTTTATCTAAGATTTGACTTGTGAATTGGTTGGCTGTAGTTGAATCAACTTAGACTGCATTGTGTAGTGTTTGTTGGACTAAATAGAAGTAAAAATGACTGAGGAAGAGGTGAATGGTAGCCAAGCATGTTATCGATGATATCAATAGTGTTTACAACCCATCTCAACTAGGTGAAATGGGTGCAATTTGCCTACCAAAAACTGAGGGGAATGCAATATTTGAGGTCATTAGCACGACTCTTCATCTCGTCCAAATGAGGGGACTCTATGGAGGGCTAGATCACGAAGATCCACATGAGCATGTAAGAAATTTTATAGAGGTGTACAACCCGTTTTCATTCAAGAATGTGTCACAAGAGTCAATCTGGCTTCGGTTATTTCCACTATCTTTGGCGGGGGAGGCTAGCAAGTGGTTGGCCGAGTTACCAAACAATTCCATCACATCATGGGAGGAGCTTATTATAGCATTCAATGCGAGATTCTTTCCCCCCATCAAGGATGATGAAACTTGGAGATGACATTCAACGTTTGAAGCGATGGGACGGTGAACCCATCGATGAAATGTGGGTGAGGTTTAAGAAACTCTTACTCAAATGACCAATTGACGGCTACCAAACGATTTGCTACACCAATATTTTTACCGGAGTCTTAATTCGGTTAATAAAGGAGTGGCTGATCAATTGGTACGAGGGGGAATAATGTTGCAATCATTTGAGGTGGCTTCATTTCTTCTTGATGACATGACAAAAATAAATAAAGCTTGGTACACTCAAGAGGATCAAGTCTCTCCTATTTGTTTTAGAATGACACAAGAACAACTTGATAAGGAATATGAAAGTGATGAAAACATCAAGAAGATGTTGACCCAAATGGAGCTATTACAAGAGCATATGATGGAGAATGTGGGAAAGCCCAAGGGTACAAGTCGAGTGTTTAGAGTTGAAGAGGGTTCTTCCTCACGTTATTTTAAAAAATCGACGGAGAATCAAGGTTGGAACTCCAATAGATACGAGGAGGGTTTCCACCCACGCTATTTATAGTGAGGTGAGAATCAAGATTAGAACTATCACAAGGGGGAAGAGCAAAGAAGATACTATCAAGATTGGGCTAAGTAAAATGATTATTGGAAAAGGGAGGATGACCATGAAGAGGACCACACTAACTCGAGTGAGAGCCCAAAATCGAAAGGGAGTGCAAGTAATACCCGGGTTAATGATTTGTTGTCACGCATCCCTGATAAAGTTGAAGGTTCGGATGATTTTTTGAAAGGGATGAAAGCTTAATTTTCATCATTGAACATTAAAGTGAACTTTCACGTAGATGAAATCAAGATACTTGAAGATCAATTGAGTTTACTTTCAACATATTTGAAACCAAAAATCACAATGGAAGATAATGATAGAGGGCTGGCTATGGTTACTCGTAGTGGAAAGGTAGCAATAGGCAATGTGACAGGCAATGAAGAAGCTCAAATTCATGAAGAAGAAAAAGGTATGGAGGAAGAAGAGACACATATCCATCAAAGCATTGCCAAAGAACCACAAAAAGGTGTAGAAAAATACAATCCAATCCCAAAAGTTATGCAACCTTAACCCAAAATATCTCATCCATTTCCCCAACGTCTCAAGAAGAAGAATGAGGATGAGAAGTTCAAGAAGTTTTTATCGGTGTTCAAGACATTATCAATTAATCTCCCTCTAGTGGAAGCTTTGTTGGAAATGTCGGGTTATGCCAAATTTATGAAGGAGTTTGTCACAAAGAAAAGGAACTTGGATTTTGAGACAGTCGAAGTTTCTCATAGTTGTAGTGAAATTATGACTAAGGAGCTGATCAAAAAGAGAGAAGATCCCGGAGCGTTCACCATCCCTTGCAACATCGGCATGCTCCAGTTTTCTAAATTGCTATGCGATTTGGGAGCAAGCATCAACCTAATGCCATATGCGATCTATAAACAACTCGGGTTGGGTGAACCGAAGGCCACAACAGTGAGACTCTTAATGGCAGACCGATCAATTAAACATCATATGGGGATACTATATGACATTTTGGTAAAGTTTGACCGGTTAATTTTCCTGGCTGATTTTGTCATTCTCGATTGTGAAATAGATGCTGAAATTCCCATCATTTTGGGAAGACCATTCTTGGCCACCGGGAGAGCATTGGTGGATATTGAAAGCGGAGAACTAAAGTTTCGGGTGAACGAAGATGAAATAACCTTTAATATTTACGTTAATGAAACATCCGAGTGATATTCACATGGTGTCCACTGTTGATGTTATTGATGAAGCTGTGGTTAGTGTGAGCCATTTGTTGTGTATGAGTGAACCACTTGAAGCTATGCTTGCTAACTATGATGAATTTGAAATTCAAGGCTATGAATAGGTAGTAGCTGCTCTTTTAGCATTGGGGGGAGGGGGTATTCAAAGACTCGATTGAAGTTGGACATTGATCTAAAAAATCGAGAAAGTCCTCCCGTAAAGCCATCAACAGAGGAACCACCAAATCTGGAGTTGAAAGTACTTCCCTCCCATCTCCGATATGCCTTTTTGTGGGCAAATAATACCTTACCGGTGATCATTGCAGCTAACTTGCTTAAAATGGCATGAAAATATCTCCTTGAGGTTTTAAGAAGGCATATCAAAGATATAGGTTGGACTATCGTTGACATAGTGGGCATTCCTCTCGATATTTGCACTCACAAAATTCAGCTTGATAGTGATTGTAAGCCGAGTTTGAACATCAACAGAGATTGAACCCACCGATGCAAGAAGTGGGGAAAAAAGAGATAATAAAGTGGTTGGCCGGAGGTGTGATTGATGCTTATCGTGACCAACGACACTAACCTACGGTATGAGTGTCTACGATCGTTGATAGTATAGTAACCCAACTAAAGGTTGGGGTCGTGTCCCAAGGGAATAGTTTAGAGAATTGATAGAAAAATTATCTATCTCTAACTAGTAGTAGCTAAAGATATTAATGATTAAAAACATAGTAAATAAAAGGGGGTGAAACAAAAGTGTCAAATATCAATTGGGGGTTTTGTCAAAAGTAATAAAAACAAGAAAAATTAACAAGAAAATCAAGTATGGGGAGAAGTTCTTGGGGTGTGACTGTAATAAAAGTTGAGATAAATCGTTGGGTACATGATTTCAATAGGAAATTTGCAAGATATTAGTGACTAGGCGAAGCTTTAGATGGAAATAATTTCCCTCTCGGGCAACTTACCCCATTTCAAATGGGTTCCTCTCGGACACTCATTAGCCGCATGAAGACCAGCCTATGCCTTACCCAACTCACACTCTCGAGCTGAGTGTTTGGATATAGGACTAGGGCTCACCTTCTTTGGCTGAACCTTATGTCGACCCACTCCTTAGGCCATCAGTCTAGTGGTCTTGGTTTTGCAACCTTCCTCTCGGGCAAGCCAAAAACACTCGGGTGGTTTTGTATTTGCAACTACAAAACCATTAAATTAAACCACAATCACTAGGTGAAATCACAATTAAAATACATCTAACCTATCAGCAAGCAAGACCCAACAACAATATCAACACATATATGCTAAATCACACACCAATAATGGGGTTTTTAGCCACACATCAAGAAATAACAAAATACACCTAAAATGATATTAAAATTAAATGGGTATAAGAAATTAAACCTTGATTTAAGCAAAGGAAGAAGAATGGAGAAGACCCTCTTCCAACTTGGGGAAGATGAAATCTTTCTCTCTTCAAGTCTCCCACAAAACCCTCTCCAAACTTGAGAGAAAATATCTAAAAAGTACTATTCTATTATGATAAATATAATAATGGTTCGGAACTTCTAAATTTATTAACAAGTTTAGTATTTATAGCCATAAAAAATTAGTGCTGGCGAATAGCTCAGTGAAGTTGGTCGAGTTTGTCGAGTGACTCCGCGACTCGCCCATCGTCTGTCTCATCGCCGTTTAGTGCTTGACTTCAGCGTCTTCACGTTATGGACCATTGGGCGGTATAGTACTTCTTTGTAGAACTATTCGGTGAAGCACCGACTGCTCCTTTCATCACATTTTGATCCTCTTCCTTCAAGGCTTCGCATACTGGAACAAAGGGCAGAATTTGTCCTTTCGGTGAATCGCCAAAGATGCTTGGCAATGCTCAGGCTTCAACTTCTTCGTTCTTTTCAGCCTTTTTGTTCCTTTTGCACCTAAGTGTCCATGCTTCCACTAAAACTTCAAATACCTGAAACTTAAGAGTTTTCATCAGATAATGCAACAAAATAAGCATTCGAGGAAACTATTTCTATCAAAACAAAGCCCTAATTGAGTCCAATTTGTGGACTTATCAACACCCCCCAACTTAAACTTTTGCTTGTCCTCAAGCAAACTTGAGTTCAGCTATTCAAAAAGGGTGTCTCAAACAGTTCTACACAAGACTCAATCATGAGTGCACACAACAAGACTCAATTTACTTATGCAAGGATCAATTGTGTACTCAAAGATTCAAGTTGTGACACACCATTACCAAAGATTCTCATGCTCGCAATACTTGCTACTTGTGCAAGTTCAAGCTCAACAAAAAGTATTTAAATGCCCTCGCATAAAGAATGATTCCATATTCACACACAGAGGTTAATCACTTCAAGATCAGGAATTAGATGCAACACTCACACTCAAAAAGAGGTACACATATTCACCCATAGGTTTGCCCTTATTTTCCAATCGACTTTCGATTTGGCTTACTCAAGATAAAAAAGGTCTTTCTAAGGCTTATAATTGGGATGAGTGCAAAGGTATGGTAATTTTGGCTCAATGACTTTGTCCTCATGAGATGTGGTATTCTCAAAGCATTCCCTTCTTTTCCTCTATCAATTCTTTTTCTAGTTCTTCTAAGTCATCTTTTTATTCACCTTCATGGATTGCTTGGAACCCGATCTCCTTTGTAATTTATTCCTTTTTTTTAATCGAAGGGGTTCCATTTTCTTGCAATACCATGGGTTAAGTGGGGACTTTTCTTGCATTTCTTGACATCTCCTTTTCCTTTTCACCACACCCCCAACTTAGGCTTTTGGCCTAAGATGGCTATTCGCCTAAACCACAAATCAAGAAGATTATAGGTAGTGGGTCAAGTAAGGTCTAGGGTTCATCAAGGTTCTTCCAAAGAAAGGTAAGGCTCAAAGGGTGTTCAGAAGAGTTTCACACGCTCACGGGTAGACCACAAAAAAGATGTATGTTAAATTTTGCTCACACTTTTTAAAGTTGCCTAAGATCATCTCAAGAGGACACCTTTCTAAATCAATCAGACTAACAGGGCAAATTCTAGGTTTATTCATGCAAGTTTCAAAGCATGCTAATCACACAAGGCATCAACACTTAAGTCAAACAAGACTACACACTTTTGCTAGTGTGCAACGGTCATTACAAGAGAATCAATTCGATAAATGGCTAGTCAAAACAGGATGCAAAGAGTTCACATATTGTTTATGTAACTTCATTTGGCCTGATTGTATCCGTACATTCATGTTCGTTCAATTAAGAGCACTATTAAAGTCATCGGTATTGATCGAAACCGAGATTCAATTTTTTGCAAAAGAACAACTACATTCAACTCACGAGGGGTGGCAAAAATGTGTGAAAAATTCAAATTTTTTGGAAGGGTCAAAATCGTTTGCAATTAAAAACAAAAGAGAGCCATGAGCTCAAAAATCCACAAAAAGCAGTGTACAAACACATTTTAAATAGAACAACCCATGTATAATCACAGAATACGAACATCAAATAGCACACAAAAGGTGGGCCTCACCCCACCACAAATAAAAACATTTGTCCTCAAATGCAAGTAATAAATATCTAAAAATTTGAAAGATAACTAAGAACAGAGAGGGAGGTAGAGAGGGGATCCTGGCTATGCGATTGCTCCATCTATCATGGCGTCAGTATCCGGAGTGACCACCAGAAGGAGTAGCTCCACTGGATCTCGTAGCAGAAGACTTTGCTAAAAAAGCTTGCACAACAACATTTATCATGATTTCTTCAGTCTCGGCTCTGTCGTCCACTGTAGTTTCCTTAAATATCTCTTTGTCAGTTTCTCCCTCCGATTCAGGATCAGCTATATGCTCCATTCCATTTCTATGTCCTGTGGCAGTCTGAAGCATCTCGGGCACATTTGGAACTTCCATTGTTCCAAAGATCATGGATATATCAGTGGACTTTAGGTAGTCCACATATTTCTTCAGCTCTACAATGGTGGCCTTTACGACTGTTACTTCCTCTGTGGCTCCTTGATCGTGCTCACACACTAACATCCTGGCCTCTAGGGCATTAATAGTAGTGCTCAATGGTCTCACAACATTGTCGAGGGCAGACTGTATCATTCTTGGAATGGAGCTTTCTATATTGGCAGTTCGGCAATTAGCATTTTGGGCAAGCCGTCCCATTCAGATCAAAGATGCCTGAGTGATTGGTTCACAGGGGGGAAACAACAGCTCTGGGGCTGGGTGAAAATGAAGCAGTAGAGGGACATGTAGAGTCAAAAGGAGTGGTAATGACATCAGATATACGTGAAGGTCCAAGGGCCGAAGTAGGCAAAGATGCCTTTGCAGGTAAAGATCCAGTGGCCACAACTTATTTCTGTATCTTTTCTGCCTAGTCTTTAAGATATTCGGCTTCAATCTTTCGTGGTGGAGGCGGTGGCAACTAAATTCACATCCTTCGTTGCATCTCCAGGAAGCCGAGCTCTTTTGAGATTAATACCGGGAAAGGAGAGATGTCTGGCCCTGCTTTGCACGCATATGGATTGCAGAGGAAATGATTTTCCCGAGATTTATCCTAGTTTTCTCCATGATGCATGCTGATAAATCCGAACCAGTATCGTGCAACTATGTTCATATTTTTCTTCTCAGTTGGAACTCCTTCTGCTAACCATGTCGGAGTATTATTATTTGAGACTAGCGGAGCTAGCCAGTTTTTCATTGCATCCAGCTTCTGTGTTCTGATTAAGTGCTGGCAGTGGTCATTAATCTTGTCGGACATACCCAAAGCTATGTCAATAGTCTCACTATCACAGGCCACCTTCCTTCTTCTGACAACCACATGGTCAACTGCTTTAATAGATGCGACTAGCCTTTTCCGGTGAGGTACTAATGCACTGTATGCGTCGTAGAACTCTTTAACCCAGCTTGGTATGTAAGAGCCGCGACGTCATGTGAAGATTTGAAATTTGTGCTATTTTAGGAACTCAATCACTTCTGGGTACCTATCAATAACCCCATC